ATTATTTTTTTTTATTCTCACAAAAAAAAAGTTTAAATACAATGTCAATCCAATTGAAATTTAAAATTCTCAATTATTGAAAAATGAAGGCTTATAGGATTGGTCGCTACCAATTCTAGCCCAAAATATCTCAAAAGCAACTACGACGTGGTGCAAAGAGCTTGATACAAAATTCGTGGAAATGCAAATATGCTTCATAATATTTTTTTTTGCAAATTTTCCGCGGTTTTCAAGACTAAGATCAGATAAATCCGTTCAGCCGTTCTCGAGTTTTAGCGAGACTAATGAAAAACAATTCATTTTTATATACATACATATGTATGTATGTATGTATGTATATAGAATAGTTTTTTCAAGGCAATGACAATCCAATTGATTGTAGAAAATTGACATATTTTGAGAATTTTCCATAAATGACAATTACTTAAAGATATTATACGCTGCCAATTTTCGCCCAAAATATGTCCAAGAGGAACTACGAAGAGATGAAATCATAAAGGTTCGATATAAAATGTGTGGACATTCTAATATCTTTCAAAATATATTTTGCAACATTTTTGCGGATTTTTCTCAAAATGTTCTTTCATTAAAATCTCTCCACTTCAATTACAGACAACTAACAGAAATTTTAAGTCAAATCGGTCCAGCCATTTTTTTAAAATAATTTTTGCAAGATTTTCGCGGATTTTTCTTAAAAATTTCTTTCATAAAAACCTTTGAGTTAAATCGGTTCAGCCGTTCTCAATTGATGAGTTAGTATACGTTTTTATGGCTCCATTTTTATATACAGTGGTGGTCACAGAATTAAAACATTTACTGTGGTAAACATTGTTTGACCAGCCCTCGATTCGTTTGAAGTATTTTTGAAAATTTTTTAATTCAGAACACTTCGATATACTGCACTTAAGAGATTTAGTGTGAAAATAGAAACTTTTTGCATGCAATTTTTCCATAAATAACGGTTTTTATGAAAATACATCCACTTTGAAGTGGCCGTATAATTAAAACATTGTGTGGGATTTTTACTTTACTGCATTTTTTGAAAATATTTTTACAAAATCTCTTTAATTTAGTTAAATTATGTAAACTAAGCACCGATAAAATCATTTACAGATAAAAATTTTTGAAAACAATCTGAAAAATCTATCAAAATTGCCAACAATTTGCACAGTACACCTTACATTCAGAAAATCACCCTTATTATAGAAAATAAAGGTCCGAATGCACCAGAAATTGCTAGAATTAGCAGAAAACTATAAATAATTCTCAAAATAAATAAATATTTGAAATAAAAACTCAAAAAATGGGAATTAACCTAAAGTAACGATGCAATTTCAATAGCCTTTACTGAAGAAGGCCGGAATAGTTTTGCAGTATGTGAGAAAAAATCGATTGATATTGGTATTTATTATATCAAATCGACTGTTCGAGTAGTACATAATATATTTTATCAAAAAATATATCGGTCAGAACAGAAAGAACAGAGATCAACGCCTAGGTTGACGAGTAAAAGTTTCAGCCACACAGCAGTATGTTTGATGGTCAACTCTTGACACTTAAAAACTATTGAACATGACAATATTTTTCCAAAATAATATTTTTTGAATCGAATAACTTCCACTTGATGTATTTTAGTATCATGGAAGTAAAAATTTTACAGTTTGACAAATATTTTAAATCTTGTGTTGAACATCAGAAATGCTGCTGTGTGGCTGAAACTTTTACTCGTCAACCTAGGCGTTGATCTCTGTTCGTTCTGTTCTGACCGATATATTTTTTGATAAAATATATTATGTACTACTCGAACAGTCGATTTGATATAATAAATACCAATATCAATCGATTTTTTCTCACATACTGCAAAACTATTCCGGCCTTCTTCAGTAAAGGCTATTGAAATTGCATCGTTACTTTAGGTTAATTCCCATTTTTTGAGTTTTTATTTCAAATATTTATTTATTTTGAGAATTATTTATAGTTTTCTGCTAATTCTAGCAATTTCTGGTGCATTCGGACCTTTATTTTCTATAATAAGGGTGATTTTCTGAATGTAAGGTGTACTGTGCAAATTGTTGGCAATTTTGATAGATTTTTCAGATTGTTTTCAAAAATTTTTATCTGTAAATGATTTTATCGGTGCTTAGTTTACATAATTTAACTAAATTAAAGAGATTTTGTAAAAATATTTTCAAAAAATGCAGTAAAGTAAAAATCCCACACAATGTTTTAATTATACGGCCACTTCAAAGTGGATGTATTTTCATAAAAACCGTTATTTATGGAAAAATTGCATGCAAAAAGTTTCTATTTTCACACTAAATCTCTTAAGTGCAGTATATCGAAGTGTTCTGAATTAAAAAATTTTCAAAAATACTTCAAACGAATCGAGGGCTGGTCAAACAATGTTTACCACAGTAAATGTTTTAATTCTGTGACCACCACTGTATATAGATATAAATACTGATCACATAACTAAACCAGTAAGGAAAGTAGTAAAGTCGGACGGGGCCGACTATATGGTACCCTTCACCACTGTGGGTATATTAAACAGATGAATCCTAACAGACGTCGCATTATTGAAGAACCATTAACATGAAATTAAACATGTCATTCTGCAACCTATACTAAATTTTGGTCAGGTATAGAGTTGCTTCTTACGATGGGACAAAATAATGTAAATAAATTTAAAGCGAAATATCGAAATATAGGTTACACTTATTTCAGTATGGTTTTTGCATTCGGCCACATTTTGAGTTCTTTATTTACTTATAAATCCAAATTTACTTATAAATCCACACCAGAACATTCCTTTTCAGAGCAGATTTTTCTTGTAGTGACGGACTTTTTTTTCATACAGACTACAATATTTTTCTTCAATGGTATGCAACTGCATATTGTGCAACCTTAGGAAGATAAGGAGGTGGCTTTGAACGCTAAGGCGCCGGACACCAACAGATGCCATGGGAACCAGGGTTCAAATCCCAGCCGGGCTCAAGCTGAATTTTTGAGTTTTGTTTTTTATGCCTTTTTAGGGCGAAGATCATTCATGTAAATGTTTTTTATTAATTTCTCTTTCGAGATGAGCTACATGATCGGAGTTGCAATGAAAAGGAAAGCCAGAGAGATACTACATTCCCACCACTATGCGACGCGTTTCGCCGTTGGTTAAACGGCTCATCAGGCATATTGGGAAATGTGGCTTACAAACGTCTTTACTTGATAAGTTGTATTTATGTCGACTATTGTTGCGAAATTGCATCTACGAATTAAATTCAACCGTGTCTAGGTTCGGACCTTTTCCTTTTCATTGCAACTCCGATCATGTAGCTCATCTCGAAAGAGAAATTAATAAAAAACATTTACATGAATGATCTTCGCCCTAAAAAGGTATAAAAAACAAAACTCAAAAATTCAGCTTGAGCCCGGCTGGGATTTGAACCCTGGTTCCCATGGCATCTGTTGGTGTCCGGCGCCTTAGCGTTCAAAGCCACCTCCTTATCTTTCTAAGGTTGCACAATATGCAGTTGCATACCATTGAAGAAAAATATTGTAGTCTGTATGGAAAAAAAGTCCGTCACTACAAGAAGAATCTGCTCTGAAAAGGAATGTTCTGGTGTGATGCCAAATGTCCGAACCTTGACGCGGTTGAATTTAATTCGTAGATCCAATTTCGCAACAATAGTCGACATAAATACAACTTATCAAGTAAAAACATTTGTAAGCCACATTTCCCAATATGCCTGATGAGCCGCTTAACCAACGGCGAAACGCGTCGCATAGTGGTGGGAATGTAGTATCTCTCTGGCTTTCCTTTTCATTGCAACTCCGATCATGTAGCTCATCTCGAAAGAGAAATTAATAAAAAACATTTACATGAATGATCTTCGCCCTAAAAAGGCATAAAAAACTCAACTTCATTTTGTTTTCACACTTGTTTATGGATCTAATAAGGAAAAAGTGAGTACTGCATTATGATTGGCGTCAACGAATATCTATTACACTCTATGTTCCACAATTGTGAATAATAAATTGTGGGTTTTCATTATATGGAACCATTTTTTTTTTTTTTTTTTTGGCAAATACCAAAATTACGATTTATTTCAAAATACTCTTAGTATGATATTAATAATTAATATTTTCACTATCCAGTTGCCAGGAACGCCAAATTACGGTCACTTTGATGAGAAAATTTGGTAAAAACTTTCAAAATACAGGAACATTATATAGGGGCCTATAACTAATATTTTTTACAAACATTTTTCTCACCCTCCAAAATCCTGGCTTTGTCGAAAACGTTCTGCAATGATGTGGTGCACCCTTTAAGAACCTAAAATGTGGTGCACCCTTTAAGAACCTAAAATGTCAATTTACAGCCATTTCGGTTGGAAAATTTGTCTAAAAATTTAAAAATACCGATAATCGATCGGAACTTTTATATGGGGACTATGTCAAAAGATGGATCAATGATCATAATTTTCTGGTATGTGGATTATCTGTCATTAATGTGGATTAAAATTAACGGAAATGGTTATGTCGGCATAGACTGAATACAAGAATATAAATTCTTTACGAATATTTTGAAGTGTTGCAAACACAATTACAGATTTAACATACCCTTCACTTTGTTGTAGGGTTTATAGACCCTCCTGAGCTATTTTTTTTATCACAATTTGAAACTTTTTATATGCAGGAGTACCGTTCAATGAATAATCATTATTTAGTACATAATATATAACATAGTAATTGGTGGTTTTCCACACCAAAAAATTCTAAATGTTAGCAGGGTCTCATAAGAAATGATTCGGCATTTCTCAGTTCATATCAGTTGATAATTATTCGGTATATATATATATTGAATAACTGAACAAATTGCTCATTAATACTCTCACCTACAACGAAAGTGGTAAGAATAGAAAAAAGACATCATATTTGTTCGAAAATAAATTAATTTTTCATTTATTTCTTCATTCTACTGACAGATTGACGGTATTAGCAGCAACATGGACGTAAGTTTAAATAATACAAAATATATATTTTTGGAAGACATATTTAAAAAATGTGCATTTATTTATATTTTAGTTCGACACCGCCACCGAAAAAATGAAAGCCTTCACCAAGACTCCCCCAGACAATGTTATCTTGGAACTGTACAGTCTCTACAAACAATCCACCGTTGGTGACTGCAACATTGAACAACCCGTTGCTTTGGACTTGAAAGATAAGGCCAAATGGAATGCCTGGAACGAGAAAAAGGGCATGAGCCAAGATGACGCCAGGGCAGCTTATATTGCTGCCTATGAAAAGTATGCCCCTCTCTATGCTTAATTTATTTTATTTGCCGAAAAAGTCAACAGTTGTAAATAGTCGAAAATAAAGTAGTTATTTGTAGATGTATTAAAATGATGTGAAAAAATAAGTGTGATTATTTGGAGTAATACGAGAGAATAAGTCGGATTTGTGAAATATTAGAGAACTTGTTATAAAATTTGTTGCTTACTATTCCTAGCAGGCATATTGGCAAAAATTGTGAACAGAACAGCCCAATCGGTTCGAAAACATGAAAAAATATAATATGTGATCAAAACCAAATGTGAACTCAATATTCGGTAAAACCCACCACCAGAAATCTTTTCATGAAATTGTGTACCAAAGCTATTTTCAAGATTTTTCGAAATAAGTTTAGAACATGCTAATAATTCGACCAACAATATACGACGGAAGATAATCAAAGAAAAAAAAGGAACAACTCCTCTTAAGGGAACCCCACCCATTCTCGGTTTAAAAAAATTTAATTTTTTATTTTGATTTAATTTGAACCTACACTAATTCAAGAATGTCCCTATAAATTTTCAATTTTAAATCTCAAACATTTTTTAAAGATATAGCCGATTTATTGTGTTAGCATCAGGTGACAGCAAGAGGGCTTCTAAAAATTTAAACTCGTTTTTCTCCAAACAGCGTTTTTGCGAATGGCGGGCACGATAATTCAAAAACTGATAACCCAATTGATTTCTAATTTTGGGACGTTTCTCTGTGAGTGTATAGCTATCGTATGAACTAGGATAAAGCCAATCGGTGAAGACCCTCCTTATTTTTATACCCTCCACCAAAGTATGGAGGGTATATTAGTTTTTTAGTTTGTAACGCATCGAAATAATCATTTCCGACCCTATAAAGTGTATATATTCTTGATCAGCGTAAAATTCTATGACGATTTAAGCATGTTCGTCTGTCCGTCTGTTGTAATCACTCTAGCGTCTAAACGAATTGAGATAGGTCGCCAAAATTTTGCATAGAGTCGTCTTTTGTCTGCAGGCAGGTCAAGTTCGAAGATGGGATATATCGGTCCACGTTTAGGCATAGCTCCCATATAAGGGTACCTCCCCACTTTTTCGGTATTTTGAGGTTCTTGATCTCGTTTTTCAACCGAATTCGCTGAAATTTGGTAATTTCAGTTTTTATTGAGTAGCAAATCTTCCCACCAAAAATTATAAAAATATGTTAATTTTTTCGGATAGCCCCCATATAAGGGTACCCCCCAATTTTCGGTATTTTGGGGATCTTGATAGCGTTTTACAACCGAATTCGCTGAAATTTGGTACATTGGGTTCCTATTTAGTGCCAAATATCTAGAAATTATAGACATCGGTCCAGTTTTTCTGATAGCCCCCATATAAATTTATCCCCAAATTTTCGGTATTTTGAAGTTCTTGAGTGCGTTTTTCAACCGAATTCGCTGAAATGTGGTACTTTGAGCTCTTATTGGGTAGCAAATCTCCCCACAAAAAATTATAAATAAAGGTTCATTTTTTCGGATAGCCCCCATATAAGGGTACCCCCCAATTTTCGGTATTTTGGAGTTCTTCAACGCGTTTTTCAACTGAATTCGCTGCAATTTGGAACATGGGGTTCTTATTTGGTGTCAAATATCTAAACTAAAAATTATGAACATCGGTCCACTTTTTCTGATAGCCCCCATATAAGGGTACCCCCCAATTTTCAGAATTTTGGGGTTCTTGAGCGCGTTTTTCAACCGAATTTGCTGTAATTTGGTATTTTGTAGTCGTATATGGTAACAAATCTCCCTACCAAAAATTATTAATATTCACCCCATTTTAAGGGTTGTCACCATTCATGTTAAAATAGTTAGCTAATTTGTTCCGTGTGTTGGGGTTATCCCCATATAGCTGCATTCCACCATAGAATGGGGGATATTCTGTAGACGAAATTTTCAGTTCATACCCTGCATAGTATGGAATTCTAAAACGATTTAGTCGATTTAGCCATATGTTGTAATCATTTTTCTATTGGAGGATATCGAAATAAAAACTAGAACGTAAGGTTTGAGAATGAACTATATCAACCCGCATTTAGACCCAGGTCCTATATAAAACATCTTACACGGTATTGGCATTCAAAACTAAATTATTAGCCTGGAATTTGAGCTATATCGGCCCTTAATTAGGCATAACCTCTTATATAATGAAAACACCAAGTATTCGCTAATTCCTACACAATGTTGTCAATATCGGTCCCGCTTAAGTATGCCTCTTATAAATTTGCCCTCTAAATTGGAATATTTTCACCCTACTATGTCAACATTTTGGAGTTTTGAGATTTTAGGAAAAAATCCCATTGAAATTGCTGATATTTCTATCTGGTTTACAACAATCGATTGGTAGAATTGTAGTTATATGTATGTTCCCTATATTTTCATTTCAAAAAATTTTCAGTATTTCTATGGTGCAGGCCCGGCCGAACTTAACGCTTTTTCACTTGTTTAACTTTATTTGTAGTCAAAAATAGGCGATTTTTCAATTTTTTTTCAAAGTTCCGCCATTTTTTTAATTGTTGTGCGAAGTCAATATTCCTAGTTCATGCGAGAGCCAGACATGTACTCTTTCTAACACCGTTGGAATTTTAGGATTTTCGTATTTTTTGAAAATCCACCCCAAGTCTAGCATAAACATAAACCTTAATTCAAAATTCGTCTACCATCATAAGCTTTCAGATTTTGGCGGTCCCAATTGGTTCAAGATTAATTGTTGAATATTTGGTATGAAAGTCAAGAGAGAAAAAGTACTGACCGTTTTTTACAGCACCGAATTGAGATAGATCGCCAAAAATTTGGCAAAAAGTTTTTTTTTTTTTTGCAGGCACGTCAAGTTCGAAGATAATTTTCAGTATTTTGGGGGTTTTCAATGTATTTTTCAACCGAGCTGGCTGTAATTAGTACTTTGAGATCGTATTGGGTAAACAATTTCTCCACTAATTTTTATTTTGGATAGCCCCCATATAAGGGTACCCAATAGTTTGGTATTTTGTAGTCGTACATGGTAACAAATCTGCCCTCCAAAAATTATTAATATTCGCCCTCTTTTGGGGTAGTCCCCATATAACCCCGTTTTTATATTAAAATATTTATCTGATTTGTTCCGCGTTTTGGGTTTATCCCCATTTATTGCATTCCACCGTAGTAGTGTAGACACTCTGTTCTCGAAATATGGAAGTCTTAGACGATTTAGCCATATGTTGTAGTCATTCTACCTTCGGAGGATATCGAAATATAAAACTAGAACGACCAGGTTCGAGAATGAAACATATATTGGCTCCAGTTAGGCCTATCCCCCATATTTTGATACCTACCCATTTTCGGTATTTTTAATATTCAGCGTAAAGGAAGGTATTGTGATGCCAACATGTTCGATTAGAAATTGAGCTATATCAGTCATCAATTATGCATAGAACCTCAAATAAATACAATTCCAACTGTACGGCAATTCGTACACGATGTAATAGCCTCCAGAAACCTACCGTACATGTGTGCGGTGGTTATGGCCTCATATAACATTGCCCTCTAAAATGCAGTATTTTTTCGACAAAATCGGCTCACTTTTTGGTGTTTTGCGATTTTAGGACAAATCTCCATTAAAAATTTCTGAAATTTGTATTTGGTATACATTATGGCTTACAACAACAGTTGTTGGTATAGGTATACTTTTTGGTATGTTTCCATATTTTCATTGCAAGTAACAATCAGGTACGTACCCCCCGAATAATTTTTTTTTTTTATTTTTTATTATGGATATAGACCCGGGAAGTTGATAGTATACCCATGATGGTGACCTTTAATTTTTCTTAACCTATGTACTAAAAAATTTTTTTTAATTTTTTTATGGAATTTAAAAAGAATTTTGTAATTTCTCATATATTAAGGTCTTGGCATAGCCTTCATATGTTTGGGTATAGGTTTGGTAATTTCCTTCGGGTATTTCTAAGTTTGAACTAACATCTTTCCATCCGTGTAAATTTTTCTCACTTAGATCCCCAACAACAACAATAAATACAACCAAACTTCAATTACTGCACCACTGCATTGAATACATATCATTGCGGCAGGCCAGCCAGTCCGGTTGCATGATTGTTGTTCATGTTGAATGTTTTTCGCATAAACGTTAGACAGCCAGTCAGCCAGTTTAACAGTCATTTAAACCAAACAAAAATTGAAAAAAGCGGCTTTTTATATGAATTGCCAAACAAATGTCATTTGTCAAGAGTTTTTTTCTCTTCGTCAATTTGGTTTTGGCTTTATTGTCGATGGCTGGCTGTTGCCATCGGTTCAGCCTCCTTTTTCCGATCGAGTCAGTTTGGAGTCGCCGGAGTCGTTGTCCATTGGGAATCATTGCAAGCTGCAACAATAACACCAAAAAATGCAACCAACAGCCAAAACTATGAGTAGTGCAATGGCCAAATGGCCGCAACTAAAAACCAAAGCCATATTGGCCAATTCGATTGGTAAATGGCAACGCGTTGATTTCGATGTCGTTCGGTTTTTGTGTGTTCGTTTTTTTTTTCTTTTTTGCAAAGGTCCATAGTAATGACCATAAAAATACTTGAGAAACAAGCATTTAATAGGAAAATTACTAAATTTGTACATGAGTTTATTTAAATTTGCAAATGTCTTTATAATCCGCACAAAGTAAATGGTTTGAAAAAAAGTGGCTTTGCTGGATATGAAGTTCGGTTTTGAGGCCCCCGAGAGCAAGGACTAGGTAATAAAACAGGTTGCTGTTGTTGTTTGGCGTTATAGAAAAATCATGATGTCTATAAACGGAAAAATGATTGAAGTTATCTTTCCATAAACGACAGTGATCAATTATGAAATCTATTTCAATTTTTAAAATTAAAGTTAGAAATAATAAGAACACAGTATTAATAGAAAAGGGTGAGCGGGAGGCTCTCGCCTTCCTTATAATTGATATCAATAATGATGCTTGGTGGCCTATGCTCGTCAACAAACAATGAAAACATCGTCAACAAACAAT